GCGCCAAAGAAACCCTAAAACGTGTTGGTATTTATACCCACCGCGATCAAATGACAGAATCAAAAAAATCCTACAAGATTTGGCGGTCGACTGCGGCGGTCGACCGCACCAAGTCCAGACTCCTAGGGTCTATGCACGAATTAGGTCGACTGACCTTGCACCGCGGTCGACCGAACAACTCCAAAACTGTTCCCCCAGTGTCCAAAACCTGTTCTTCACCAAATCTTTCGCCGATTCTACACACATCTATGGAGCCACGCAATTGCTCTAAATTAACCACATATGTAGGAGGCACATCTTTCACGCAGTCTTTGCAAAAGAATGAGGTTAATCAGAAACTAGTACAATGATTTCTCGTACATGCTTGTGCTCCATTTTGGGGAAAGAACACAAAATAAAAACTCAGGCAGAAGTTTATTAATATCATTATTTCATGATAAGCAACCGTTGGACTTTCATGAAGCTAATCAATCTAAAAGGTAATAATCTCAGGGTTGAGAGCGTTTCTTACCATTGGAGAACAGAGATGAACAAAATATAGTCAAGACCAACAGGAGACCCTAATAACCAACAGGATACCCTATTAACCTTTTCCCCCCTTCTTTTTGCCTCAGAGCAAACATCCACTTATGTTCCCAATATCAAAGTGCGTTTAAAATGCTAACGAAGAAAACTAGAAATTTGGTAGTATGAGAAGTCAAAAGTATTATGGTTACCTTAGGAACTGCCAATACCAAACATGAAGAAGCAAAGTTGGATCGAACAGTCCAAACTAAGGAACAACCTAACAAGAAGATAATAAGCAATGATGTCAATGTTTCAGGCACAAATTATTGCAGATATACAAGAAAAGGTTTTCAAGATCTTATTTTCTTTTATTTGTTTTCCTTCACTATTGTTCTTGGCCATTTACCCTACTTTTCTTCTATTTCAACTGTCTTTAGGAAGTAACATAATTATGCAGTGGTCTATGAGAAAAAGAGAAGTTCAGCTTGCAAAAATAATGAAAATTGTCATGACCATAATCATCATTAGGCCTTTCTCTAATCAAACGTAGTCTGTCACAGTGTCACTGAGAAGACTAATAAAGTTGGACAAACTACAACCAGCTTCTCTACGTAATGTCAAAACATTTGAAAAGAAATTTCAACAAACCTGTCATAAACCTGCCAACCTGGTAAATCAAATATCACTTTAGAGAATGTAGGGCCTCCTAATGTTGTTCTAGTTCATGGTGTTAAGAAGAGCATAAAAGAGACGGGAATATAGTTTGATAAGGAATTGCCAATATCAGATAGCATCTCTAGCATACATCTCCTTCCTCCTCATACCCCACATTTACTAGTTATCTTTCTCCTCTTCTTGCCTCAAATCTCTTTGACTGCTACTGCTGATTTCCATAATTCTGTCAGATGTTTTTACTAACTAATTTTTTTTTATTGCCACCATTTAGGATAAAGTTTCAGTACTCTTGACTGCCTACGAAAAAAGGCAAAAAATACTTAACATAAACAGAAAAATAACACAAATGGGAAACATAGGCACAATATCACTTATGGTCTTATACCGCCTTTATGCATCATGAGATCGTATTCTCCAATAAACTACCGATTGACGTTCTCCTTTTTATTCATTTATTTTCGATGTTTTATTACAGGGAGTGTTCAGTTTTGCATTTTGCTGGTGGCTGGGGAATGTGGAGACAAAAAGATTTTTAAATTTCAAAAGATACAAATGGTTGACAAGGATTAATTTTTAGGCTTATCAATCAAAATTATTATCTGTTTCACTGGAACAATAAAAAATCTTTCATACAGTACCAGGTTGATGTGAAACTGGCATTACTAGTGTTCATATAAAGGCAGCTACAATGCCGAGGAATCAGTAGCATTTGGCATCAAAAGGAACTAATACATGACTACTTTGACAAAGATATGCCATCATAAACCTTGAAGATTTCATTTGTGCTGCTCTGAGAATTTTTTTCATGCATCGCTAGTTAAGAGCAGACAAAGTAAAACAATAGTCCTACTCCAGTTATAAGAGAGAAATAACATTTATACTTTTTCATCATATTACTGAACAACCAAACAATTACAGGGGACGATGTGAACTCAACCAAAAACTACGCACACAAATTTAAGGAAAATTGAAAGAATGATAAACAGCACAAGCATCATAGATTTTTTTTTAAGGTTTCATAAATAATAAAAATTGGATGTCGCATACAAGATTGCATAACCAAATTCATTAGAATTTTCAGTAACATCCTGAAATTTCACAAACATCTTTATCCTTGTTATTGAAGAAGATTAGCCTTTTATAGACTATTACCTTGATCAGCAATAAAATTCAGTTTTTAAAAAGGAAAGAATATTTTATGTATTAAAAAGTTCCTGATCAGTAGTCTATTAATGAATATTTAAAATTACAAATCAACTAACATCCTAATCTATAACTTGCTTTTAAAGATGCCACAAATAAAAAAAAACGTTTATTAGACACAACATTAAAACATTATTTTTTTCGTGGTTGCTATGGCTACTATAGTAGCCTTTCTCTTTTTTTTTAATCTATTTCTTTGAGATCTTCCAAATGAATGTTGTTCTACACTAGAACCGCTTTGGTTAGAGAAAACTAAATCACAAGTTTGAAATTGGGTATCAATGAAGAACATTTAATAAGTCTAGAATGGACCTAGGATGACCATAACTTTTATTTCATTGAAGAAAATTAATTTAGAATGATATCAATGTTAATGTCATGATGCTGGATTTACTTGATTCTAATACCAAATTACAGAGGACAGACTTGGAGATGGTCTTAATAATTTCGTCTTTGGGATTGGTAACAATCAAAGAGAAAAGAATGGAGATTTGAACTGTTTGTAAGTTGTAAGTAGAGTTTCACAACCAGGATTGCATCAAATGATCCTGAGAAATCACAATCTTCATAACTGTATCCGTAGTCCATCTTTTTACGAAGAAAAACCAGTTTTATAGATTAAAAAACTTGAACACAAAGAAATCTACTTCTGACATTACTTAATGAAATATCTTCATATAGTTAAGCCATAGTTACACAGCATACGGTATGTGGTTGGTCGTGGTATGAATTCAGGTATGTAATTCACCACGTAGAAAATTTGGATTCGAGGGAGGTGGTAGCTTGCTTCCGTTCGTAATTCAGCCAGTGGTATGCTGTAAATTTTTTGGGTGTGCTTACAATTTTCCAAACTCTATACTAGAAAATTAGAAACCAGAAAGCTAATTATGCATTTCAATATTTTTGCATACAAAATATTTAACTACTTGTTTTTTATGGAGTTCGATTTTTTTTTTTCTTTACATAGTTTTTGTTGGGATCATGATTCCATTTCACGTTTATTAACATAGGTACTTAGTATAAAGTCATTGACTCATATATTCTATTAAGCGCCTCCCTCCACTCAATTGTGCACTCACATTGCGTCTTGTGCATATGCACTAGGACACTGTGCCCACATACTTGTAAGCTATATGCTAATTTTGGGGGAACCGATCCTTGTATAGGAGGCAATCGGTTAGCAAATATATTGAGAATTGATTCATAAGAATTATATGATGGTTCCTGGGGGGGCCAAGGAATCACGCAACTTTGAGTTAAGCTATGAACGGATTCCCAAATCAACTAAAATGTCAAACCAATTAAAATTCTACGTAAACGAAGGGTTTGTTTTGATTTTGATGAACACGAGAGAAGGGAAGGTTTGGGGGCGGGGGGGGCAGTTCACCCCATTTGGATAGCTTTTATGGGGTTAAGAGTTCCCACTAGTTCACCTTAGTTCACCCTTAATGCCAAAAAAATTATTATTTCCTTAAATTCTCTCCCCTATTTCCCCTTATCTTCTCTTATCCCAATGAAATCCAAACAAGCTGTAAGTAAACTTTTTTTTTTTAATAGATAAAGGCTATAAGAAAATTCTCTTTTATAATTAAAATTTAAATACTAAAATTCGAGAATATCATCTTCTGTCGTCACTGCAGTAGCTAAAATTATTTTTCTTATGTTTTCTTTAATTCAACTATTCCTTTTGCATCTTCCAAATAAATGCCATTCCACATTAAATGCCTTCTTACACTGTAACAACTTTGAAGCAGCTTGATTAACAATCTACATAACATTGACCCCACAGCTTTGGATGCAAAAACAGGGCTCCTTGTGCAGAAAGGAAAATGGATATTTTACATTAGTTCAGAGAAGTATATTATCCATACACATCATCATCAGAAAATATAATTCATATGCTCAAAATTTACCTATTTATAATAGATTATATTTTTGAATGCTCAGTTCTAGTAATTGTTAGTTTCCAATGTACATCAGACACACTTAACACTTCTATCGATTTTACCAAGTTTTTCTTTTTCAATAAAAGTCACAAATTGACTGGAACCTAGATCGTCTAACAATCTAAGACCGTCACTTCCATGACGTCCCTAGAAAATTATAGGAGCCGATATACGAACGAAATGACATCATGGAGACCACACTGAACTCTATGCAATACAAACTCAAGGGTCCAACTGATTGATTTATGAATAGAAAAAATTAACAAGAATGTGATAAATTACAATAACACACCTGTCTATTGAAATCGCACATACCTGTGAATCCACTAAAATTTAACAATTTTGTTAGACTTACATAGACACTTCAATTTACCAGATAAATTTAGATAGTATTGATGCTTGTTAGTTTGGTGGCATTGGAACATTCCAGATGGGACTAATTATGTTTTGTTTCACTGCACTGGTTGGTTATGATGAGTTTGCTTGATGTACAGTTTGGAGTCTTTGGAGTAAAAAGGGCCAACACAGAGTAGCATTCTCTACTGCATCTGAAATTCTGATTACTTATAATTATCTCATTAGAAGACAGTGCGCCTAGAAAGAAACAGAGGAAAGTAAAGAACATGCAAACTATCAAAACCACAAGATGAAGCTCTCTCTTCCACAGGATAAAGAAAATATGAAGTGCATTTGCATGCAAAAATAGAATTGAAAACCAATACTTAAAAGCTAGTTTGGCCATAATTATTTTGACCTCATATCCATACATGAAAACAAAGCAACAACAACGGATTCATTCAATATCATGCATAAATATGCATAATGATTTGAATCCGACACTCGATGCCACGAATCAGACACCATAAAGCTAAATCTTGTTATCACCTAAGGAGGCTATCCAATACCCTGACTTCCATCTAGATCATCAGATTTTTAAGCTATGTACAGTCCATTTCAATACGCACGAAAGCTAATCAGGTAAAACTTCTATATTTAGAAAATAGTTGCGATATGAGCATGGATCTAACTAGTAGAACCTTTTATATGGGAGTCACGCTGATTGAGTTTGCCTTACTCTAATACACCATCCAACTCCATTTGCTTCTCCCGGCAAGTGGTTGTACAGAAAGCTAGCAGACTCCTGCAGAACAAGACCTGAATCTTGTGAAAACTATAAGTTTCTAATAATAAAAGAAATAATTTTTTTTAAGAAAGAAGAAACGTCTGTGCATCAATGGGGCACCCTGAATCAAAAATTTTGAACCTGAACAAAATGATTCAATCTTAAATTATTCAGAAAAAAACAAAAAATTTGTCATAAAATGCCGTAATTATGTATGTTCAAGTTATTCTAGATTCAAAATAATGCTAAAGGCGCCCACTAATCCTCCAGTTCCGCACACTCCTGATTTCAGCGAGTTTGCAGTGGGCTATGATGGCTTGGGAATGGGTGTAGACAGCTATTACGTCTGTCTGTATAAGGAAAGAGTTGAAGAGTGGGCTATTGGTGCTGATCTCCAACACATGAAAGGGAGGTGTTAGCTATATTCACGTCCATCAAGGAGTGGAAACAATACCACATCGAGAAGTAGTTTTCATAGAACTGATCATAAGAACATTAAATGCAATTTGAGCCGAAGTTTGGGAATGGATGCTTAGAAATATGTAACTCTAAAAGCTTACGGAGTTTAAAAATGGGATTGGATACAGGCAGGCTCAGAAAACGGCTCAGTTGATAAGTAGAATGTGAGGGCATTACCAAGATGATTCCTAAGGTTATTAAGCAAATTAAGGCAGAGGGAGTGGACAATAGTTACTAGCACGCTATGATACCATCATGAGGTCCAAAAGAAGGCTTTGGTTCTACGAAGTAGAATTCTCCTCAGTCTATCATCTCCATTGTACAGAATTTATAAACAGACTGTAGCTCTGCCCACAATAGCTCATGGCAAGATCACCACACTCTAAATAAAATCTTCCAAATCTATAAGTTTCAATTTTGTATCAAAACAAGCCCTCAAAATTAAAGCTTTAAAATCTTAGAGTTCCTATTTCGCATCAGAGCAAGATCTTTAGATGCAAAACCTGTGGAAAGAGAGAAAAATCGTTACCGATACATGTAGACCTGTTTCCTTCCCTCAATCGTTTTCTTGCAGTAGAAACAAACCCTCAAGAACTCCCCAAACCCCACCACTCTCTCCTTCTCTTCAGGCTCCGGATCCAATTTCCCTGACCCGATAGTGAACTCAACGGGTTGCGATCCTGATCCGGATCCAGGCGCGATGTTAAGATCGAACCCAATCCGATCCTTGAACGGCGTAGAGTTCAGCATTGTGCTCGAGGATCTCACTCGGCGTGATCTCTTCCCCATTATCGAAGAACTTAGGGGCAAAGTTAGGGATTTTAGGGTTTGGGAGTGACGAGAGAGAGAGAGTTGTGTGAGAAATTGGGGAAATTTCCCTCGCTGTGATGTTTGCCATTTAAAGGAGGAGGCAGAGGGGATTGATTGGCTTTCCAAATTTGAAAGGGATAATTGACGAAAAAGCCCTTGAACGTCTGGCTTAGTATGGCAAGGTTGCTAGTGGAGTTTTGAGTGTATTCTTGGAATTATACGGCCAGGTTGTTCCCTTTGGGCACTGCCGGACTGGGGAGTGTTTTGCTTCCCATACTAAACAATTTCTTGTTCTTTCACTATCGAAAATGCACTTTATAAATTAACATTTTATTTGCATTTGAGCGGTCGTGATTCATTCAACATATAATATAACTTTTATGAATTTCTTCGTGTTTTTCATTTACTAGGTTTTATGCACGTGCAATGCACGTGATTAAATACTATGATTAAATATTTTTGATTTATTTCCTTACTAAAATTTGTTTCTAAGTTCCACTTTGCTTGTTTTTGCTAGGGCTGGGCGTATTCGGTTCGGTTCGGTTTTAAGCCCAATCCGCATCCAATCCGAATTTTTCGGATTCTCAAAACTCTCATCCAGATCCAGATTTTTTCCCCTTCATCCGAATATTCGGCCTAACCAAAATTCGGTTCGGTTCGGTTCGGTTTCGGTTTTGAACCGAATTAACTTCATTTCACAAAAATCTGTGTAAGTTTTAGTTATATCCAAAACTGAAAAGAAGCAATCAAAACAGAAAAGAAACAATCAAAACTGTACTAAGCCACTTAATCAAATTGTATGATCTGAATATAACTAGCTTAATACACTAGGAGGACCATGTAATTATGTAGCCTTTTTTAGAGAAAGAACAATGTTTGGCAGGCACACACACATTTTGATGATTTTCGTTAATTTTTAGCTGCCTTTTTCTCATCAAGAATTATCTTATATCCTTGACAGCCTATACTATAGGTTAATTTGATATCCAGCACCAGCAAGCTGTATTCATGTTATCATTGAAATTTGACCAAAACACTAAATTTATCCTTCAACCTCAACATCTTGTATTGATTTACGGAAATCTCACTTAACTATATCAGCGTACTCAAATATATGTTAGTATAAACTCCACCCCATAATTCTTAAATGCTAAACATTCAGCCATAAATTTTCTTCACACCCAAGGCTCCCAGCTACTTTTTGTTTAAGAATTCGGTTCGGTTTTTTTTGGGCGGTTCAGGGGTTCAAACCGGATCCAAACCGGTTTAATTCGGTTCGGAAGGTTTAGAGACTTCTTCTCATCTATTTAATTCGGTTCGGTTAACCGATCCGTTTTTTCGGGTGGTTTTTTCGGTTGAACCGGTTTGTTTCGGTTTTTGCCCACCCCTAGTTTTTGCTCACTTATGTATTTAAACTTTAGTACCGTGATTATTTATTTTCTTTAATGTTTGTTTGAATGGGCTACACCAAATTTAAAATTTTCACGTTAATAATTGAATTGATAAGAAATAAATGTAATCTAAAGCTAATTTGAATTTGTACGTTATTTAGATCGACGTGAAATCAAGCTTGACTTGAGAAGGTATAATGTTGTAAAAGTAAAAAGTACTTGAAGAAATAGCATCATAAAAGAAGGATGGATAATTAAAACTAATAATCCAAGATGATTAATTAAAAGTGGACTACAATGAAACTAAAAATAATATAAATTTTGTTGCTAATCATTGATAGAATCAAAAAAAATCATAAAATAAAGATTAATACTAACTCTAGTACATTTTTATATGATAAAAGCATCAACATAACCATATAAAAATATTAAAAGAGTTCATAAAAATCTCTTCTAAAGATTCATGATTTTTCCTCAAAAAATTAAGCTATTCTATAAAATATTCAATAAATTAAATTTGTGTTGTATTTATAAAGAGCCTTGATGGAGATGCTTTTGTTTTTAGCAGCTTGTTCTGAATAAACTCTACATATTAGCTTTGAAGTATAATTTTTCTTTATCGTGTTATATGGATGTTTGCTTGGTTTAATTATCATTCCCTTATTTATTCAATAAGTTGTATATTTGGATTGATATATATATTATTAACACAATTTATGATAACATACATAACTTTTCTACAAATTTGAGACAGATATAAGGTGAATTTTATGTTTAGTGGCCTTTAATAAGAATTTTAATTGTAAAATATGTTACATTCATATTTAAAGATCTTGAAACCTGACAGTACTATTACATGCTTATCTTTGATCGTATCCCTAAAAATTGATCATTCGTTGGTAGTCATATCCCTAAATAATGTTACTTGCAGAGTCATGGCACTATAAAGAAAAAAGAAAAATATCAATATTAACTTTTTTTACTTACGCTATGGTAACTAAGTATCATGTGCATACTTTTTGTCAATTATAGTGATTTTCCTCATCTTATCTAGCTTATTATATCTCGTAATATAGTTGATCAATGGCTTCACTTTAGTTTCTACTGCAAGATTATTTATATATAATTTTATATTAAGTTTATGATTCCTTTAGTATTTTAAGAATAAAGTATGAAAGTTTATAAATACTTACTAATTTTTCTTGTATCTTTTATGAAGAATGCTTTTTTAATTAGGACAAAATTGTTTAATATGTTCTTCAAGGGAAACTCGGTCAGTGCTTCTTTGTTAGATTCATGAATGTTTCTGAATTTTGAGTTTATTTCCTTCACTTCTCTATTTGAAATGAAAACAACTTAGTTCTTTTAAATGATATCTCTGAACTTTCTGATAGTTTCTCCATACATATCTCATTATATTTTTTTACCCTATAAATATTATCAACATTAGATATAAATGTTTATACATTATAATCAGTTAATGCTAACCTATTATATTATATTATAGTCTTTTATTAGTTTTTCTTCTATATATCAATGGATGTTATTATTAAAATTATATGCAGTTCCTTAAATTTATACAGTAATGTTAATTTTTAATCTATCATATATTTTTAAATTCTTATTTCTAATTAGATAGTTTTAATCTACGATAATTGCTATTTTTTACCGTCATCAACTTAGACTATTTTTAGATGTTGAAAAGAGATGATAAATTTTAAATTGAAAGTTAAATTTATATAACTTAATGTTATAATATCAAACATTTCCTCTTTTCTTTGCCAAAAATTTAGCCTTTTTTGTGATTTTAAACTTTTGAGGGTGTGTTTTGTAATTTTTAAACTTTGATAGTATTTTATGAAAACTTTTACTTATAAGTTGGGTGCTTATAATTCATATTTCATGTATTAGTGGTAAATTTTTAAATGTTAGAATATTTCTTGTAACTGAAAAAATTTGAAGGTATTTTTATAATTACTAAAATTTGGGTTATTTTTAAAAAATTTAAATTTTCAATGATCTATTGATAATTTCTAAATTTGATGTGTACATGATATAAGTTTTGAAATTTTAGGATTTTTTATAATTTACTTTTGAGAGAGTTTTTATAATTTTTATAACTTTAAGGTTATTTTTTACAAATTTTAAAATTTTAAGTGCTTAATGGTAATTCTAGAAATCCATCTATTATGTTGCAAAGTTTTAAAATCTCTGAATTTTAAGGTGTTTTTTATAATTTAAACTTTTAAGGTTGTTTCTGTAATTTATAAAAGGTTGAGGGTATTAATTACAAATTTTAAATTTTTAGATTTCTTGTTTATTTATAATTTTTAAAAAGTCAAGGTGTTTTGTGTAATTTTAAACTTTTAAGGATATTATATGCAATTTTTGAAACTTTTGGGTTTTTTTAATACTTCATGTATTATAATATGTTATCCACGTATAATTTCTTTATCTTATTTTTTCTAAATTGTTGAGTTATAGGTAGTTAATATGGAGTTAATATAAGATATAATTAGCATTTGGATAGATTAAGATTTAAATAAAATATTTAAAATATTTTTTTAATTATTGAGCTATAGATAATTTACATGGAATTAGATAAGATATGATTAAAATTTAAAAAGATTAAGATTTAAATGAAATATCCAAAATAGTGAATTAGATAAGATATGATTAAAATTTAAAAAGATTAAGATTTAAATGAAATATCCAAAATAGTGAAGGGTAATATTGACCATTAAATTTAAAAAGATTAAGATTTAAATGAAATATCCAAAATAGTGAAGGGTAATATTGACCATTAACGTTTTTCCTGAACTCGTGCTTTTAAAAGGAGTATGATATGATTAATATAAGATATCATTCGCATTTGGATAGATTAAGATTTAAATAAAATATTTAAAATAACTTTTTTTTAAAAATTGTTGAGCTATAGATAGTTTACGTGGAATTAGATAAGATATGATTAAAATTTAAAAAGATTAATATTTAAATGAAATATCCAAAATAGTGAAGGATAATATTGACCATGAAAAGTTTTTTCTGAACTCGTGCTTTTAAAATGAGTATGATTATCACTTTATCATAACGAAAAATTGTTGTCTCTCTCTATTGTCTATCTCCTTATTTTAATATATTTACGATTGTAGTTTTTTTATTTATAATTCATTAGCTTGATTAATCTACCCAAAGATTAAAGAAAAATAGTTTGATTAGGGTATTCTTTATTGCCGTTAGTATCTTCTAAATACTGTGTAGAGAATTAAGCAAGAAATCAATTATGTGGCTCTAATTTTGAAGTATTGTTTAGGACATATCCAATGGAGCTGCAATTTAGCGCTAAAAACCTATTTTAGCGCAAAAAACTCCCTCCAACCGATCGCTAAATCCCGCGTTAAATTGATAAGATGATACAACACAACACTGTAGCTTTAAAGTTTTTTTGTTTTTCCGATTTAACCTTAAACTATGTGATAACAAATTAAAAATACCTATTGTATCCTATTAAATCATTCATTAACCTTAGTTTATTCCATTTAATTTTTTTATTTTTAACTTTTATAATGAAATATAGTATAAAATAATTATTAAAATAAAATTCTTTTTGGTGTAAAATTTGGTATAAACTATTAAACTAAAACAATTTGTTAAATATTTTAAATAGATAAAAATGTTAAAAGATAAGA